ATTACGATTATTTCCCCACAACGATACTTCTTCCAAGAAGGGGAGAGAACGCCCTAAACACCAGGGGAGTCCATCATCGCCAAGATTGTTCCCACCCACCCACAGCTCCTTGAGATTGTGCAGTTGACATAAAGCTGCAAGCTTGAAGATGTTTAATTAATTAAACATGCTTGCACAGATAAATATATTAATTTATGAGCTGACTGCTAACGTATATATAATTTTAAGAAAATTAGTGGGCTTTGAACCATATGCGTTGTTAATGGGCTTTGAGCCATATGAATATATATAATCTCCATCTCCTTCCAATAACTCAGAAAAAACATAATAATTAAGATATAAAAAGAGTGTTCAACATTAATAGTTACCTTGTACATTAATCCAACCGCTGATTTTGTTGCCAGATAAATCTAGGGTCTGTAGTTGTTTGAACTCTGTAAACAAGGTGGCATTTGGGTACCATGTCCCTTGTTCTGATTGCCTTTCATATGAGATATCTATAGAGATGACTCGAGATGTTGAAGAAAATAAGTCACATTCCACACCCTTCCATTTGCAACAATCATCTCCAACCCAATAAGAAAGAGCATGTCCATTTGGAAAGTTGAAAGAGTCCCTGAGCTGTAAGAGAGCTCTCCTCTCTTCCTCCACACACCGGTGTGTTGTTGTTGTTGGTGATGAAGACGAAGATGCTTGGCAACCATCAAACCTCAAAAGCAACAAAAACAAGGTTACCAAGAACTCCACAGCAACCTTGTATGAATGCAGCAGCCTGATACACCTCATCCCCATACTCACTTAATGAACTCAAACTCAAGTAGGATGGAATGGGAGCTGAGATTACTTCTCCTCAATCCTCTTATTTATTAAATATTATAGCCCACTCTCTACCACATGTTCAAAAATGATAAAAGAAGATTAAATATCTGTGCAGTTAGTAGGCTGTGATTGGTCCGACTGAACTCAAGTAGAAGTCCTAATTGGTAAGCACTAGTCTTGTAAACCACATATCTTATACAACTCCGCGTCAAACACGATACCCAGGCCTGGACTTCCGATTCTTCTTGAATCTTCATCCATTCATTCACGATAGATTAATAACTTTTCTACTCAATTCATCTTACCATCAGCAGAAAGATGAATATGAGTGACCTGGGCCTAAGCCTTAACACGATGTAGGTTAAGCGTAAGCCCAATCTTCCAGGTCGGTTTCTTAGCTAGGCCCATATTATGGTTTGGTTGATCAAATATTTTAAGTTCGATGGCTCAGGCAGCCCAATGGCGCCAGAGGGGATTAATTGGGTTATTACCACAAAACAATGGTGATAAACGCTAGGAGTGTAATTTGGGTTGAACGGATTGGACCAGGTTAAATTAGTTCAGGCTTTTCGGTGGGCTTTTTTAAATGTTGATAAAAAGTCAACCCGAATCTGCCCAAGTTACACCCTTAATAAAGAAATTTATAAATCTTCTAGACCATTTAAAAGGGAATTTGATTATTCCACCACACCATACGCCAAGGAAAAATTCCAAGATGGCCCACAATTACACCACGTCAAACACGATACCCTGGCTTGAACTTAAAGTCTTGGTGTATTTTCATTCATTCATTCACGTAGGTGATAGATAATGTTATTATCCTTATCAAATTAATTTGCTTTTGATTTTATATTTTATTAGGAAACAGTCACTACAACAAAATTGGCTTATAGCGGCGGATTAGCGATATAAGCTGTTGTTATAAGTCATTAATAGCAGCGGAAAAATTGTTATTGCGGCATATATATCTATTACTAAAAGGTTATTTAATTATCATTAATTTATACATCCGTCGCTATAAATGCATCGGTTCATCATATAGCGATGGATATATTTGTCGCAAACAGCCACCTTTAATATAACAATATATATATATATATATAGAAAAAAAAACATACATTTTAGCAGCAGATATATCTACCGGTAAAAATAAAAAAAAGCTAGATGTGTAGTAGGGGATATATTCACCACTAGAAAAAAATCATGCATTTTAGTGGCAGATATATATGTTGCTAAAAATGAAAAGCCAAATGTGCAGCAGCAGACATATCTTTTTTAGCGGTTGATATATCCACCGCTAAAAGAAGAACCAGAATAATTGAATACATTAGCAGTGGATACCGTATATCCGCCACCAAAACCTGATTAACACTATAACATCACACCAAATTTTCAAATAAAATTTAATAAAAACTAACATATTAATTAAAAACAAATGTACATCTTAATGTGAGTTCCATACATTAATGATATGGGAAAAGGTACAAAATTCTTGTTACATATAATAATAAATCACAAAAAAAAATTCTATCTTCAATTTATTCAACAAAGCCTTTTATCATTCTTGTATTGGTTCAATCTAAAAAACAAGGAAAACAAATATAAAAATTAGATTATGCATTATATACATCAAGGTTTATATGTTTAAATACTAGTTAAAGATATGAAAAGAATTTAAGAATTTTGTTTTAAAATAATCTAGAGTCAAAATGCATATAAATCAAGAAAATATGTAAATATACAAATGTATGGGCTCCACCAATACAAAATACTAAACAATACTGATATGTGGGCCCTATCAACACATAGAACTTATACAAATGGATATGTGGGTCCCCCCAACATTGGTCACCACTCACCACATCTATCAATGATTCAATTCATTTGTTTGATCCCATGGTGATGGTAAGGTGCTGAAAATTTTTTCTGAACCTGTAATGGTAAAGTTTAATGAAAAGATCACAATCTCCTTTCCCCCAATTTCCATGAGCCTTTTTTTAGCTATAGAGACAACACCCCCACCGTCAAATGGGTCTAATTCATCAGCGCCACGGTCTTTCTCTCAGAAGTCTCAGAATTCAAGCCATCATTTAACAAACAAGAACACTTATGATTCATGAAGAAATTCTTCTAGTCACAATGTGGAAATAGGGGGATTTACGGGTCTTGATTTATATAATTAGAACTTTCAATGGGGTCCATTTTCTGGAACAACTGGTGTTGGGAGCACTTCTGACACTGCTCAAGCTGCAAGCATGGTTCAGCAGGCGCACAAGAGAGCAAAGAGAGCGTGAGGAGGCACAGGCAGCTGTGGGGGTTTTAGGGTATGGAGGTATGAAGTCAAATGTGTCCCTTAATTCTCTCTCACATAGGGCCAGGTGGGCCAAAGGATTGCAAGGTTCTATTTAAATCTTTCCCAAGAATGGTGATGTTTGGGCCCTCTATAGAAATTGGTCCCCTAACTAGAATGAGCTTACCCCATATGAAGTGATACACAAGTATGACATGGTGGAAGTGCTTGATGATTATTACGAGGAACATGGCATGACTGTTACTCATCTAGTTAAGGTTGCTGGTCTTAAGATAGTTTTCCACGGGCATTTGGATCTTGGGCAAGACAAGACAATTCCAAGAGAAGGGATGTTCCGCTTCTCACTTTAGGTTCCCCTTCTTACTTGCTTATAGGCCAAGAAGCTCCAAATAGTAAGACTAGGAAACTAGTTTTAATGACATGCCTTTTTTCAAATGATAAAGAACATAGTTGTTTGATCCAGTGATAATGGCAAAGTGCTGGTGAAATTTCTTTTTCTGCTTTCATTAGGTCATGGGTTCACAATGTATATGCCCCAAATCAGCAATACATCGATAGAAACTTCCCAAAATCCCATTCCTAATTCAACCCCCCTACTTTCGTTGTAGGGTGTTTGTTTAAAAGAGTTCCATGTGCCACAATTTGCCCAGACATCATAATACTCTTCAAGTAGACACTTACCTACATGAAAACATAATTTTAATTTCCATTTGCATTTGACTCTCACATGCTTTTTGTGCGGTCTTTTGGCTGTTTACAAGCTGGGAAGACCAAAAATCGGTCTATACTCATATGGCATGCGGAATATCTAGCCGCCAAAAGATGCGCGAGACCCATTTTAGGCTGATTTTAGGAAGCTCCAGATGAAACTTCTCGCGTCTTTCATGTTTTAATCTCGTGCGAAAAGATTCAAAACGATGCACAAAAAGATGTTCATCTGCCAAACAGTATTCGAGCTGCCTAGATCTTATGTCAAAAGCTCAATGCATCTATTGACTGTCAAAGCTATGAGAAGATCTTCGCAAAAAGACTTGCCAAACAAACCCGTAGTCTTTTGCAGCTTCATCTTGTTGAGATGCTCGTTAATTGTTCATTAAGTAATGACTACAATTATTAAAAAAATAATAAGTTAGAACGAGGGGCTCGTGAAGTGGCATCTTTTCCACAACTCGAAAGAGGAGGAAGGTCGTAAAGCAAGGAACATCAAGAGATGTCATTGATGAGCCCAGATTGATAGAACGAGGGGCTTCGACCTAATGCAGGAGAGTAGTAGGTCTCTGAGGAAGTGCCCCTTTATACCCCAAGATGGTCGGTGAAGACAAATGACAAGGCTTGGGATGCCAAGGTCACACTTGAGCTAAGCAAGGGGGTCCTGCTCCCCGAGGATGTAAAGGAGATTGGCGGCCAAGCTCCCCTCATGCTCAGTGGTCAACTATTTTGGCACCTTATGATGGTGAGTACATAACTTCCTTTGGCCTCTTACTCTTTCTTTTCTTATGAGCCTAACTAACAATACTCTCTTTTCAAGCCAATGCCCTATCACAGGTGCTAATGGGAAAGGCTAAGACTTACGCCTAGTGGTATGAGGTTGTGAAGCAAGAGGTGGAGAGATCCAAAGGAAAGCTAGAGGTAGCCAAGGTGGAAGTCAACATCTTGAAGGCCAAGGTGGGAACTCTCTGGTCTAAGGCAGATTCTACCCTTTTAGCCATGGAGTAAGAGAAGACCAAACTGTCCCAGAAGTTGGTTAAGGCAAAGAAGAACAATGTTGTACTCCTCAATGATCTAGAGCAAAAGGAGGCCGAGCTTACTAAGCATAGGACCAAGTGTGTCAAGGAGATGAAAGCCGCCGGGGCAAGGGCTACCAAGGAGTACATTGCCTCCGTCGAGCTCTAAGCTGACAAGAACAAGTATACCTCAACATCCATGGTTATGGAGTTTAAGATATGTTGCCAACTCATGGTCACATTTTCCTTAAAGTTTAACCTAACAAAGCTAAAGATGTTAGCCATGAAGATGAGAATTCTGATGATGAGGAGGAGGAGATTGGGGACGGCAAGAAGACTACAAGTGACATTCTCCCATTGATGCTTGAACCTTACCTCTTTTCTTAAAACCTTGTTTATATGGACTACTTCTTCCTAGGCCTATAAGCTCAGCTTTTCTTTTCTTTCTTTTTCTTCTTTATTTTATGTTATGATGTAAAAAATCGATTAAGTCAATGAAGCGATCTTCTTTTGCCTACCGATTTGTGCAAAACAAGTTGTTTTTTTTTTAGTTCCTGACTAGGGTTGCACAAAGTGAGATTGCATAAGTAGATTTTGGGTAGTTCAATTCTTCTTCACCTAATTTGTCCCAACCAATCAGGTTTAAGTTACCCTTCCTAGTGTTAGCTGATAGCTATAAATACAACCCTAGCAAGTGCACTAGTTATCAAGTAGTATAAAAATATCGTTCCAACAAGGATTTAACAAAATAAGTATTAGAACTACAGCCTTCCCTAATTATTTGGACAATCGAATTTCAGATTTGAGAATAAGAACTAATTAAAAGCAGAAAAAATGAAAACAAGAGCAGAAGTAACAATGCTGAAGTATGTAACGATTGGTTGAATTCGCTAGGGCTTTCGGTCCACCTAACCATTCCAATGAATATTAATGGATGAAATTATCCAACATAATTTG